GTATATCTCTCACAGGTAGTGGACACGTCTCGGAGAATAGGACCCTGGGAGCCTGTTGCTGCCCCTAGAATTGAGATCCAGAAAAAGCCATGTCCTCCCTGCATGGTATGTGACAGGACTTCTTCTACTTCATACAATAAAGTTTGCATTCTGATGTTCCTTTCAGAGGGGTATAAATACAATCATGATTTTATTTTGTCTTAGGATTTAGGAGTGAAAAGACATTTTTATATGAAGTCAAATCATGAACAGGTACAAAGATGCCATATTCCAAATATTGTTTCCAAAGGTTCCAGTCCCAACAACATGTCGTGGCAAGCATGAGACACCACATTGGCCATGCAGTGATCTGCGCTCTTATAGCTGTGGACGTAAATGTGGACGCTCCCTTGCTTGTACAAACCACACATGTGAAGTTGAATGCCATGTGGTAGATGGAGCGCCAGACAACACAAAGGCTGGAAAGAATTGTGCTCCTTGTGAGAGAAAGTGCTCAAAGGTTTGATATGGAAATTTTAATAACAAGCAACAATTCACATATTTTCTTTCTTTCCTTTAAAATATATATAAATCCTCTGAAACTATATATGATTATGGTAAAATTGATACATATTTATATTTTTGTGCATTGCTTAAATATGCATTCTTTCAGGCCCGTCCACAGGGATGCTCACATGAATGCAAGAAGGCTTGTCATCCTGGAAACTGTGCAACATGCCACCAGCTAACAAAGATTAAATGCCACTGTGGCCTCACACAACTCTTTGTAGAGTGTGAAGCCTGGAACACAGCCACTACTGAGAAAGAAATGCTTCAGTGTTGTAAAAACCAGTGTAATAAAATGGTAATATTAATATGGGGACTGAAGCATGAATATGTTATATTTGTCATTCACAATATTCATGGGCTGTCTTTTTCCTCATTTATGATTTTATTTATAGATTTCACATTTGATCTGATATAGAATATTACTCATGTGTAGGAACTGTCAATTTTTTGTATAATGTTTTGTTTTATGTTTTCCCTTGATGTACTTTAGATGCCATGTGGACACAGATGTACCAAGGACTGCCACAGTGGCCCATGTAGTGCTCCACAGAACTGTAAGAAGAAGGTAGCTGTGCGATGTCCTTGTAAGAGACAGAAAAAGGATTTTTCCTGTCATTTGGTAGGGGCAGGGAAGGCAACACTGGAGTGTGATGATGTTTGTGCCTTGAAATTGAAAGAGAAGGAAAAGGTATGTTGTTTCAGAATCCTTAGACTTTTCAAATTCTCAGGTAAGTTTTTGAATGCCTATATAGTTAGAAAACAAATATAGGGATTGTAAAGCTGTGACTCAGCTGTCACTATCTTAACCCATAAAACCATTTCAGGAATATATTCTTATCCTGCACAAGCAGATTCTTTTCTTAAGCAAAGTGCAGTATTCATGCTTAGTATATTGTATTTCATTTAGATTTTTGCCAATTTATGCATGTCCTGTAGCATTTTTCTTTTGCTCTTTTTTTTTTTATTTTTATTTTTTATCCCTAGGAACAAGAAGAGCAAGCAAAGAAGAAGCTTGAAGAAGAGCAAGCTCGGCAAAAGAGAGAGCTAGAACTCTTTGAGAAGAAGATGGATGGAAAGAAATACAAGAAACGCAATAGAAAAGTAACAGAATCTAACAGTGAAAAGACATTTTGGAATACATACAAGTCACTGCTCATCTTCACAGCAACAGTTGTTGTAGCAATGTCAGCTTACATCATAATGGGCAGTTAGTGTGTCATTCTAGTTGCACGATTTAGGGAATCAAAAATGATCAACACTGTGTGTTGCAGACTAGCAGGGTTGGTGTGTTTAATCATTTGATTTTGTTTGATAAAGGGAAAGATATTAATTTCTTTTTTGTCCAGTCCATATTTTTGCTTTTTTGTTCCACTTTCAGCATTAATTTCTGAAGAAAATATGTTGATGATTTAGAGAGAGAGCCAGCAGCTCATTTCAACAAAGTAGTTGAGATGTTTTAGTTTTTAAATTTTACTTTCTACCTCCTCATGTTGAAAAATAAATTTCTAGGAATTAATAAATATCTTACAGAAAGTCTGATTTAGGTGAAGGGTACTGCATAACATTTTGTTTTGATAAATCAGTGCAAAGAAGGAAATATTAAAAGAGAAATAGAGGATAAAAACTTGTCTTGTAACAAGTCTTGTTTTCCTTTGGCCCATTATTTTGTATTTTTTATAATTTAGGGCCAACCCTGCTTATTTTTCATTGAATAATGATAACTTGTTTCATACATAAATGAAATGTCATATTATCCAATGTGGATAAGAAAACATAAGCTTATGAATGTCAATTTGGGTTTAAGATTTGGCCACAATTTCTTTCAACCGATTTTTATTTGGTTTACATCTTTGAGAGTGTCAGAAATTATTTGTTGAATTTGTTTACAGAGAAGCTTGGTACAATTATGTTATTCACTATTGTTATTATCCAATAAAGATAATCATATCACTACATTTGTAATCAATAGTAGTCATAGGTGTGTGTTTTCCCCATGTAAATTTGGAAACTATATTTCTTTTTCTCTTCTCTCTTTTGTATCTGCATTTTTATGCTTTTCCAGTTTTGATGTCTTCTTTTTCTTCTTCCCAACATAAATCCTTTCTAAATTTCTCTTCTCTGAAACTTTGACATCAGTCAGTTACTGCATACATTATTTTTATTAGAAAAATAATGCATGATCAGTAGTCTCATCATAACTACATGAAATGCAGCAAGAGGAAGTCTGAGTAAGAGTAAGAGTAAGAAGCGAGTGGGTGGACATCTGGGTGTAGAACAAAAATGGTTAGCTGTAAGATCAATTATTATATTGATGAGGACAGAGTGGACAAAAGTACTATATTTTTGCCAGGTGGTTTACATGCTTTTGGCTTGCATTCATAGATTGCATATTTTAATATGTTCCAAAGTAACACTGCAATAGTTTCCGAGAACCAGACAATTTAATTTACAAACCATGAACACCCCAATCCCTGCCTTGGGCCTCAGCTCTGGATTCAGTTGTGAGAGCCGTGTTGAAAGGACTTTGTGCCAGTAATGAACAGCCTGGTGAAGACATGTGCATGGTATTCCCGTTCAGTTGTCAAGGGGATCCTGAGGAGTGGACTGTGTCTCTCCCCAACATATTCCTGGCTTACCATGACCATTAAAGAAGACTTTATACCCTTATTAAAGGCAATGAGGGTCGCCCTTATACCCTTATTGAAGGCAATGAGACTTGCCCCTTCATCAAATAGCCCACTGATTCAAATTCTGATCCCCAACCCCAGGCTCTCCTTTGACCACGACTCTGAATAATGCTATTACTACCCCCTCCTCAGTGCTTACTATCACATCAACCACCCAGGTCAACACTCAACCTCCTTGTTGTCATGGAGGGGCTTAGGAGATGGGAACTGGGACCCAATCTGGGGATCTCCCCTGCCTTGAACCTCAACTCTTTTTCCCCTCTTGCTTTTTCGTTTCCCTCCCTTCTCCAACCCCTTCCACTATCCATTTCCTTAGATGTGAGAGCTGTGTTGAAAGGATGAAAGGCTGACTTTGTGCCAGTCCTGAACAGCCTGGGGTAGCCATGGGCACGGTTTTCCCATTTAGTTGTCTAGCCCTTACCCCTCAAGGGAATCCTGTGGACTGTTTCTCTCCCCAACATACTTACCTTACACTCTGAAAACTGCAACTACAACCCCTCCTCATGCCTGCTTGTACATCATCCCCCCAAGTCAACACTCAACCTCCAGGAGACATTCCTATTCTCCCAACATTTTCAACTCTATCCCATAAACCCCACACCCTTCTTCATCAACCACACCATCCTCCCTTATTACTACTTTGCAGTCTTGTTGTCTACCTCTCCGTAATACTACCTCTCACAACACTGCTACCCTTTCCACACTTCCCTGTCTTTGTATCACCACCATTTCTACAAATATTTTAAATACTCTATTTAGCCCAGTCAAATGGGACCGATTTTTCGTGATTCCCCCCACAGCTCCTTGCTCTCCTCTCCCTGCAATGTCTCCAAAAACAAGTAGGCAAACTCTCTTTCCGCAGCCAACCTGATTGTTCCCGTCTCGTCACAGTTACATCCGAAACTGATCTCTCTGGCAACCCTATTCCCGCAGAACTTAACCCAATCCTCAATACGTGTACCGGAACTGTCTCCATCTCCCCAACAAACTTTCGTATCATAACAAAAATTGGTCAAATTGTGGAAAAGAATTAATCACCAACCTCACTGACTTCCACAGTCCTCCCCAGTCAAATTCTTTTGCCATCCTAAATTCAGACCCTCCAATCTCTACTGCAGCCCCAACACCTCCCCCTCTTCCTCCTTTATTACCTGCAGCAGACAAACCCTTTCTTCCACCCTTTCTTCTACCACACACTTACCTCAACCTACCTTTGCCTCTACTTCCCAGACATCGTCGTCTCTCAAAACTCCCCAACGAACTCCACTACAGAAACTCGAAGATATTCAAAACTATCTGCTGGAGTCCCAAATTGACGCCGAAACCTCTCATCCACCCTCCAATGCCACAACTCCCACTCCCTCCACACTCAAAGTGACTGCCGATATCCATCCTCCTCCTATGCCCCTTACACACCTTCCTCCTTCTCCCTCCCAACACACCCCATCCCCCCAGCCCTAGCTCCACCTACATTAACCCTCTATCCCTTCCACTCCCTCCTGGATACACACATGAATACCTTATGTCATAACTATTCCCTTCCCCAGATCCTCCACCTCCTGATACAACATCACCTCCCCCTCTCATTCCTTATCTCACCCCCTAACTCCTTCCCCTTCAAATTCTCCAACCGTTATCACTCGTAGATCAGTTAAGCAATAGCTCTTCTACATTGGAATATTCTCGGTGTCTGTTTACACAGATCTGATCTTCGATATATCCTTTCTTCTAATAACCCATCCATTGTCTATCTCCTAGGACTCCTATACCAATTCCCAATTACCATTTTGTCTCTTCCCCACACTCCCATTATGTCTCGTCTATACTTGTCCATCAGAAAACACCTTATGTTATACCTCCCATTCAAACGACTGTCCTCTTTTCTCTTACTTCATATGTACCATTTCCTAATCCCTCATGCTGGTGCTCTGATTGAGTTTTCACTTCACTCTTTACTATTCCTACCCTGCATCCCCTTCCATGCCCATTTCAGATATTCTACAGTGTTTCACAGTTACAGTCCTAAGAGCTGCTTATACAGCCATTTCCCAAACCTCAAAAGCTTCAAGATGTTCCATGGTCGAATTATGATTGCACATAAGCGCTTTTCTTAAGTCTGGAACAATTAAAGCTACAAGCAAGGCACCCTTGATCAGCTATTAGCCCATATCTCCTTTAAAAAAAACATCCACTAGTCATCGTCGTACAATCCATTGCCCCCATCCAGCCCCTGTCTTCTACATTCGAGATACTCTCATCTCTGATCCTCTCCAAGTCGCTAATGAACTGTGTGACTATTTCAGCCAGGTCAGTAGTGGCTCTCACCTTTCTCCACACTTCTCTTCCCATAAGACCATCAGAGAATGCATCCCATCACTTTCACCCTGTCCCTTGCTGAGTCCTACAATGCTTCTTCACGCTGCCTTACAGTCGTGCCGCAACACCCATGAAGGTCCTGACGGTATTCATTACCATATGCTCAGACGTCTCCCGTCTTCCTCCCTATCCTTCCTATTAACAATTTTCAACCACATAAGGACGTCAGGTTGATTAGGAAGGGCATCCAATCAGGCAAGGGTAGCACTGCCAAATAGCCTCTCAATGAGTGGAATGAATGGCTGTTAAAAATAATAATAATAAAAAAAAATGTCATATATGTGCGTGCGTGCGTGCGCGTGTGTGTGTGTGATATCTAATATATATTATATGTACAATATATATTATATATATAATATAAACAATATATGTCTTGGTGTGTGTGTGTGTTTGTGATCTAATATATATTATATATACAATATGTATTATATATATATTATAAACAATATATGTGTCTTTGTGTGTGTGTGTATGTGTGTTGATCTTGATGGGAGTGTTGGGTTGAGTATTTTGAGCACTTGTATCAAGTTGATCCACAAACAGTTAATTTGGATGCGGGTAATGTTGAGATTCCTCTGCCAGTCCCACCCATCAGTGAGGATCCAACCTTCCTGACTGAAGTCAGGGGGACGATTTCCAAGCTGAAGAGTGGCAAAGCAGCAGGTGTTTGTGGCATCCCAGCTGAACTGTTAAAGGTTGGTGGAGAACCTATGGCAAGGGGCTTGTATGCTGTCCTGGCAGACTGGTACCATTCCCCATGACCTGCTGAGGGGTGTGGTCATCCTTCTCTGGAAGGGGAAAGGGGATTGGTGGGACTGCAGCAACCACCAAGGCACTTCACTACTCAGTTTACCACTACTCACATCCTTCTGAGACGTACCTGCTGAGGCACCAAAGGCCGGAGCAATCTGAATTCTCTCCTGGTAAGTCCACAACAGACTGTATCCTGGTGCTTCAAGTTACTGTAGAGCACCAATATGAGTTTGGACGTGGGCTGCTTGCAGCTTACATCGACCTCAAGGTGTTTGATACAAGGATTATCGGATTAATAGCAAACCTGTATACTGGCACAGAAAGTCGAGCTTCTTCCCTGTTAGTTCAGATGTGAGGCAAGGCTGTGTTCTTGCACCAATACTTTTCAACACTGGGTAGAGCTACTGTCCAAAGTCACTGTGGAGCAACTCTGGGCAATATTAAGGTTACAGACCTTGACTTTGCTGATGTTGCTCTTCTATCTGAATCTCTGGGAACCCTAGTGGCTCTTGATACATTTAGCAGTGAAACGAAGCCCCTGGAGCTAGAAGTCTCCCGGATCAAGACCAAGATCCAGGATTTTGAGAGCCTGCTAGGAGACCCTGTGCAGTCGGTACGTGCTTGCGGTGAGAGAGCTTTATATACCTCAGTAGTGCAGTTTATGACTCCGGGCTGTCAGACCAGGAAGTCAGCACATGGATGCCGGTACCTGAGCAGAAGGACCAAGCTACGTGTCTTCAAGACCCTGATACTGCCAGTTTTACTATATGGTAGTGAAACCTGGATACTATCTTGTGCTTTGGAATTTCGTCTTGATGCACACGCACGCATGCACACGCGCGCGCACACACACACACACACACACACACACACACACACACACACACACACACACACACACACACACACACACACATGTATGTATATATATATATTATATATATATATATATATATATATATATATATATATATATATGTACATTATATACATATGTATATATGTATACACACACACACACACACACACACACATATATATATATATATATATATATATATATATATATATATATATATATATATATATTATATTGTATATATGTACATTTTTTATATATATATTTGTACATGTA